CAAAAACCCCTCCTCGTCAGTTTCTACTTTTTGTCAAACGACGAGCTTCTGGAGATCCTCTCAGAGACAAGGGACCCTACGCGGTGCGCGACTTGTGTGATGCATGTGATATTGTGGCCCGGGGCAGCCGTTGATATCATGAGAAGGGCTGGGCGCCTTGCGTTGGTGGCTCCAGGCCAACCCCATCAGCCGCACATCCGCTGGCCGCCCGGCAGGGCCGTCGCACCGCGGCTGCCGACCAGATGCACATCCAAGCATTGCCTGTGCCCTCCTGCTGCGCCACGCGCGCCTCCAGGGTCCAGCCTTTTCTGCGCAAGATCTTTGAGGGCATCAACGGTCTCGAGTTCGACGCGAAGGGCGTCGTCACGGCTATGCGCAGCGAGGAGGGGGAGAGCGTCACGTTCGCAAAGTGGGTGCAGGGCAAGGGCCAGCGCTGGTTGTGCTTGTTGCGTTAGCTCTTTTGTGTGTATTTGCACGCGTGTGAGTGAGTGTGTGTGTGTGTGTGTGTGTTTGTACGTGTGTGTGTGCGTGCGTGCGTGCGTGCGTGCGTCCAAGGTGCTGTGGTGCCTGAGTTTCATGTGTGAGGCACTTGCCTGTTCTCTTAGAAGCAGAACTATGCACTCTTGAAGTGTCAGCAAAACGACACCCCCACACACTGATTATTCTTGGGGTATCCACGCACCCTCCTCACTCTCATGTTGCAGGCCGTTTGACCCCGCAACTGCGGGCGGCGCGGTGGAGCGGTGGCTGATCGACTGCGAGGCCGCCATGAGGGACACACTCAGGTGCGCTGCGCTTATTCGTGAGTGCGCGTGCGCGATTCTCGGACGACGCGGCCTGGGTCGCTGTCCTGGCAAGCGCGTGTTGATGGCGCAGCCGTTGACAGGAGACAGTCCTGCTTCACAGTACTCGGCTGGCCCAACAAGTCCCCACGTGTCCTCAACACCTTTCACACTCATCACAATTGCCAACCACACCCCTTGGATCTTCATAACTCGGTTGCGCCGCACACACTCTGAAACACTCGTGAGCAGGGCGGTGGTGCGGCAGTCGTTTGATGCTTATGCGTCACGCGAGCGCATCAAATGGGTCTGCGAGTGGCCGGGCCAGGTGAGCGGGGACGCCACCGCCGCCGTATGGGACGCCCCCCGCCAGGAGTGATGCTTGCGCGGCGATGTTGCCCGTGTCTGCTGACCCGGCAGCTGGCTTGTCCTAGACATGGCAGCTTGCCTAGAAGGCCCCCACTTGGGGCTTAGTTGCATGTGCTGCAAAACAACAGGCTGGCATCGCCAAAACCAGCCCACACCGCACGCACACACAAACATGACTCGCCCTGCAAACAACCGGAGCCAGGTTGTGCTGTGCGTCGACAGCATGTACTGGAGCCACGACGTCGCCGCGGCCATCGTGCGTGGCACGCTGGGGGCAACGGCCAAGCGCCTATCCACAGAGCTGCTGCAGGCGAGCAAGGGCTGGGCAACAGCATAACCACCTTTTGACTTGTACCTTGACCGTCAAGACCGCGTCACGCCGGGATTTGTGGGTGTGCTTGATGACAGATGGCACATTGTTGGGGGACAGTTGATTCAGATGGCTCAAATCGGGAACGGTCTTGATACAGACTCGCGCGCACCCGCCTGCCTGCCGGCCGCCCCACGGCCCCATCAGGTGGTGGACAAGGTGCGGGCGCAGCTGAGCAAGCTGGAGCGCCGCACCCTCAGCGCGCTCATCGTCATCAACGTGCACGCCAGGTGGGCGCGTGTGGGGGCGGATGGGGGCGGCAATCTTCTGAAATTTATCGTTGCAGGTTTGGGGGTTTGGAGCTGAAGGGGGTCAAGGTTTTAGGAGGCGTTTGAGGCGGTCCTTGAGGCGTCGTAGGCGGGGCGGGCAGCGGGCGGCGTTGTCTGGGGCTGTCAACTGGAGTGTGGGACCCCCGGCCTGGGAGGCCGGCGCGCACCTGGTTAAAAGGACTCGCTGGCCCCCCGTCAGCGCCGACTCCCTGCGTCTCGTTGGTCTTCTTTGTCCCGCTTCAGCTCAACACAAACGGATTCCGAAACCCTGACCCTACCGCCAGGGACGTTGCTGATGAGCTGGCGCGCCAGAATGTGGCCAGCGAGAACGACTTCGAGTGGACCAGCCAGCTGAGGTGGGGCCCTCGCGACCGCGCTTTTCATCAGGGTTCAGGATCTAGGGTGTACCTTCTGATTAACGTGGGGTGAAATGTTCCAAATTCATGCGTCATCATAATCGCCGCACGCGCCGCGCAGCCGAACAATGTCGTCGATGTAAATAGAGCGCGCCAAACCACAGCAGCCCTCTGACACGGGTGCAATGCAGACCCCCCTCACCCAACCCTCAACCCCAAAATTTTCAGTTGGCAATGTGCAAAGCAACCCCCCATGCGTGCGCGTACATGCATCGCGCGCAGGTACGGCTGGGACTCTGCCCGTGAGGGCGTGGTGGTGCGCATGCTCAACGCGGCCCTGGGCTACGGCTACGAGTACCTCGGAAACGGCGGGCGCCTCGTCATCACGCCGCTGACGGACAGGTGGGCGCTTTGGGGGCGAGGACGCAGGTCAGCGCAGGCCGCCCTGGACGGCGTAGCTGGGTCAACGCGGCGCCCAACTTGCATCTTGTCGGCGCCGTGGGGCGAGGGCGGGATAGAAACCGCCGTCTGTGTCCTGCTGGCAAGGGCCCTGGGGGTTGAAGACGCCGCCTGCGTGCGGGCTGTGTTGACGGTCGAGGATGGATGTGTCCCTCTTTCCTCGCTGCATCTTGCCTGAGGTGTGTATTCTATCATCGGCGTAACTACGTTGCACAGGCACACACCACAGGCACAAGAGCAAGCAAGCGACCAACATACGCACACGCGTGCATGCTTACACCGCAGGTGCTACCGCACGCTGATGGGTGCCCTGCACCTCAACCTAGGGGGCGCACCAGAGGGCCCCGCGGGTGAGCACCCGGTGCACGCGCACGTGGGCAGGCCCCCCCCTGCACCTCACCTCTCCGCCGCGCCGCCCACCAAAATAACCCCTCGTTGCGCCCAACCCTTTGCACCACGCTGCTCTGCTGCCGTAACACACCTTGAAAGTCGTCTCACCCTGCAAGCTGGATGCCTTGCCAACTGATTGACAAATATGTCACATCCATCTCGGCCATCCATCAAAACTCACCAGGTACCGGCAAGACCGAGACCACCAAGGACCTGGCCAAGGCTGTGGCGATGCAGTGTGTGGTGTTCAACTGCAGCGACGGCCTTGACTACCTCGCGATGGTGCGCTTGACTGGGGACATGCCTCACAAAGGGGAGGGACCTGCATGGGTGTGTGCCTGTGCGGGTGTGGGTGTCCAGG